TGCGGTCGGAAATAACTTGTCAGTGCGTTAGCGCCACCGCCTGGTATGGATTGTTGTTTACCCTTTCTGCTGCAGCGCAGCACAGGAGGAACAAAAAAGGGGACAAAAGCGGTATCGGTTAAGAGTATCGGCCGACTTTTACGAGTACTAGTACGAGTACTTGATGCTGGTATCGGACCCGATACCGATACTGGTATTGGGACACCTATACAGTATATATGCACATATTCAATCAGTGTCCAACCAGAAAACCCAGGATGTAAACACCTGTTTGTGTGCGGCTGTGAACATGCATGTATATACAAGACCTTCTCCAATGGAATGTTTAAAAGTGACTGTGGAGGACCAGTGACCCGACCCGTAAAGCCAGAAGCGACATAAGGGAGACCAGCACCGAAGACCCAGAGAGGGACCCCAAGCGTGGAGCCCCCAGAGCACCCGCGCCAGGAGGGCCGCCCACCCAACCCCCAAAGGGGGCCACAGGAGAGAACAGGGAGTGCCCCACCAGCAACCTCACGCAGTAAACCCTTGGGGTCAGCAGCAACAAGCTCACAGGCCCCGCCAACACCACCGCGCCAGAGCAGATCCAGGCATGGACACAGAGGCCTGGGCCCCCAGGGCGCAAKCCCCCGCCCCCAGGCCAAGGTCCGACAGGGCCAGGGGACCCAAGCCCCACTGGGCAGCCACTGGGCCGAGCCGGCACATGCCCAAGCACCCAACCCTGGACAACGAGAGCCACCAGCYCGCCGGCGGGCAAGGACACAACCCACCAGAGGGCTGCGCGGCAGGGGAAGCAGTGGGCCCTCAAATGAACCCGAAGAAGGGGCCGCCCAAGTCCCAGCCTGACAAAAATTCAGGCATACACAAACACAGTCACACAGTCCCTCATCATCTCACCCACTCATTCAAAGACTCTAAGAGGCTGGGGAGAGGGAAGTCTGGGTCTCTCTTGGTTTGTTGATGACACCTGGGTTAAAATTAAATCCCAGGAAGTCCACTATTTCACTGATCACATCAACTCTGTGGATAAATATATAAAGTTCACACGAGAGGATGTACAGTAAAAGATGGCAGGTTGGCATTCCTGGACTGTGATGTCTCAGTTTCAGATGGAGGACGGTTGGAAACTGACGTGTATCGCAAACTCACCCATACAGACCAGTATTTGCATTTTGGTTCCCATCACCCACTGGAACACAAGTTAGGAGTCATCAGAACTCTGTACCACAGAGCAGACAGTGTCCTCACAAACACAGGAGCCAGGGAGAAAGAGAAGTCACACACAAGACAGGCTCTGGAGCAGTGCGGTTATCCTAACTGGCTTTTTCTGAAAACAGACAAGAAACCCAAACAGGATTCCAGCCAACAACCAGCTGAAAATGAAGACCCTAAACCCAGACCCAAACCCGTCGTCATTCAATATGTGTCGGGGGTTTCAGAAAAACTGAGACGTTTATTCTCTAAACATGACGTCCCAGTGGCTTTCAAACCACAAAACACGTTACGACAAAGATTAGTTGACCCCAAAGATCCAGTTCCCCGTCAAAAACAGAGTAATATAGTGTGGTATCCTGATTTAGTAATCTTTTGTTTTGGGTTGTGTCACCACACAACACCACTAGAGGCAGTAGCAGAGAAGAACCTAAAAAGCTGCTGCAGGAGATTTAGAGCAGAAGAAGTTACCCCATGTATTATACAGAACTGGTACTCGAACTGTAAGCTGTGAAGAGCATTAAAAAGAAGTTTAAATATATCTACTGAGAGTGGACATCATTCCTAAGAGTGAAGATATCACATATTGGCGACGAGGATACTGGATGGACGTGGATTGTGCCTGATTCAAGACACAGAGCTTGTCTGGATGCATGTGGCCAGTGGAGGTGAAAGTGAAAGCAAGAAGACTAACAACAGATCTAACTAAGGTGATGTACAACTACAAAAATGAGTGCAATGATATGTATTCTGTCAGCATTTGATGCCAAAGAGCAGACATGGGAAGAATACTGCGAGATTCTCGATCAATTTTTTAAAGCCAATGACATTAATGATGGGGACAAACAGAGAGCTATCCTCATTAGCGTGGTGGGACCAGCTACATACAAGCTAATGAGAAACCTAGTGAGCCCGGACAAGCCCAGCTCTAAAACCTACATGCAGTTGGTAACAACAATGAAAGAGCACTTCAATCCTAAACCAAGTGAGATTGTACAAAGGTACAAATTTGACTCTCTTCATGTCAGCCCACTGAATCCATCAGCGCATATATAGCAGAGCTGAGGCAGCTTGCTCAGGATTGCAACTTTGGTGCTACATTGGAACAGATGTTGAGGGATTGTCTGGTGTGCYGGTTCAATGATGATAGGATTCAAAGAAGGCTACTATCAGAGACTGATCTGACTTTTGAGAAAGCATTTCAGATTGCTGTAGCTGCGGAAGCTGCGAACAGAAATGCTCATGACCTGCAGGAGCCAGCAACATGTAACAACATGAAGGCAGAGGAGAGAGACACGAGAGGAAGTTGGAAACAGAAAGAAAAAGAGTGTTACCGATGTCACGGGAAAAATCACACCGCCACCAAATGTAAGTTTAAAGACTCCAAATGTCACAGCTGTGGAAAAGTTGGACACATCGCCAGAGCATGCAGATCTGGAAATAAAAGAGAAGATGATGTGCGCCCCAAGGAAAAGTTTGGTCACCGGGGGCAGCCACACAGATCACACAAGGTATGTGAACAACAAAAGGATGAAAGCAGTTCAGATCAAGATGAGGAAGCATTCACTCTAGCATGTTTGAAAACCAAAACTTCTATTCAAAGAGTTGAACCATTTGAAGTAAAGGTGAAAGTAAACAGAAAAGAAGTAAAGTTTGAAATAGACACGGGATGTAGTGTCAGTGTTATGAATGAAAAACAGTTCTGTGAGATGTGGCATGAAGAAAGTCYACCACAAATAAAAGAAAGCAAACTCTCTCTTAGGACATACAGTGGAGAGAAAATAACAGTTGTGGGGGTGGCTCAGGTTGAGGTGAACTATGCAAACCAAACCAAAACATTGCCCCTAGTGGTAGTGAAGGGAACTGGACCAAGCCTGTTTGGCAGGGGGTGGCTGGAAGAGTTAAAGCTCAAATGGGATGAGATTAAGCATGTGAAAACAGAGGCACAGGGATTACACGAATTTCTCTCGAGACATGAAGAAGTTTTTAAAGAAGAGTTAGGTATGTTAAAAGGAACGCAAGCAACAATCCGTGTATCTACAGATGCCTGCCCCAAATTCTACAGGCCCCGCTCAGTCCCGTATGCCATGAGGGCCAAGGTTGATGAGGAGATAGAAAGGCTCCTGAAGGACGACATCATAACCCCAGTGAAGTATGCGGAGTGGGCAGCGCCCATTGTACCTGTTCTTAAGCCTGATGGATCTGTCAGAATGTGTGGCGACTACAAGTTAACCATAAACAATGCTTCATCACTTGAACAATATCCTATTCCCCGTGTYGAAGACCTCTTTAATGCACTAATAGGTGGGAAACAGTTCACAAAGCTTGATCTAAACCATGCGTATCAGCAGATTGTCATGGATGAAGAGTCAAAGAAATACCTGACAATAAATACACATCGTGGTCTTTTCACCTACAACAGACTAGCATTCGGCGTGTCATCAGCCCCAGCTATTTTCCAGAGGACGATGGAAAGCMTGTTACAAGGTCTGCCCAGGGTTGTGGTATATTTAGATGATATACTGCTGACAGGTAGAGACACAGTCGAGCACCTGCAAACATTAGATGAGGTACTCAAAAGACTCAAGGAAGCTGGCCTGTGGCTTCACAGGCGTAAATGTGCTTTCTTACAGGATCAGGTGGAATATTTGGGTCATAGGATTGATGCAGAAGGCCTGCACCCAGTGCAAAGCAAAAGTGAAAGCCATCGAGGAAGCTCCACCTCCAACAACAGTGATGGAACTAAAAGCTTATCTGGGTCTCCTAAACTACTACAAGTTCCTTCCCAACATTTCCACATGCTTGGCACCATTATACCAGCTGCTGAAGAAAGATGCTAAGTGGAGTTGGAATAAAGAACAGGAGGAGGCGTTTGATTTATCTAAACAGCTGCTAAAGTCAGCCAAAGTACTGTGTCATTACTCAGCCGACAAAGACCTGGTGCTTGCATGTGATGCCTCACCGTATGGAGTAGGCGCAGGATTGTCACACATGATGGAAGACGGAAGTGAAAAACCTTTAGGTTTAATGTCAAGGACATTAACACCAGTGGAGAAGCGTTGCTCACAACTCGACAAGGAGGGGTTAGCCATCATCTTTGGAATCAAGAGGTTTCACAGGTATCTCTACGGTCGTAGATTCACAATCAGTACCGACCACAAGCCACTGATATCTCTTTTCCATGAACAGAAACCTGTACCACAGATGGGGTCACCGAGAGTGCAAAGACGAGCTACCCTGCTGAGAGCATACGAGTACACCATAGTCTACAAAGCATGCAAAGTTCATGCCAATGCAGACGCACTGAGTCGGCTGCCACTGCCACAGGTTGAGGAGGAGGAGGACGACGCAGGACAAGTCCTCATGTTGGACCTGATGGACGATCCACCAATCACTACAGCTCAGGTAAAGCTGTGTACTGCAAGAGACAACATACTGTCACAAGTGCTGTCATGGTGTTTAAAGGGCTGGCCCAAAGAAGTGGACACACAGTTCAAGGTCTACAGTCAGAGAAGGTTCGAGTTGAGTGTGAGAGACGGATGTGTGTTGTGGGGAGCTAGAGTGGTTGTTCCAAAGAAGGTAAGGTCCACCCTTTTGAAACAACTGCACCACACACACTCTGGCATTTCCAAAATGAAAGGCTTGGCACGTTCATACATGTGGTGGCCAGGGATGGATGCTGACATAGAGAAGGAAGTACAGTGCTGCCACATTTGTCAGGAAAACAGGAAGTCTCCAGCAGCTGCACCTCTCCACCCTTGGGAATGGACAGAAACTCCCTGGAGCAGGCTACACGTTGATTATGCTGGCCCTCACTTAGGAAAAATGTTTCTCATTGTAATAGATGCACATTCAAAATGGCTTGAAGTGTATCCCACAAGCAACGCGACAAGTCAAGTCACAATAGAAAAGCTCAGACAATGTTTCAGCACACACGGCCTGCCCCAGATAATAGTGTCAGACAATGGCACATGTTTCACCAGTCAAGAGTTTGAAACATTCRTGAAGCAYAARYGKATACAMCWTGTTACATCAGCACCTTTCCACCCAGCATCAAATGGCCTGGCAGAAAGAGCTGTACAAACGTTCAAACAGGGCCTGAAGAAAGCAAAGGGGGACACTTTGGAAACAAAGCTGGCAAGATTTCTGTTCAACTACAGAATTACACCACGAAGTGCCACAGGCTTGTCGCCTGCTGAAATGCTGATGTCCAGAAGATTGCGTTCAATACTGGATCTCCTGCTGCCTGACATCAAGTCAAGAATACAAAAGAGACAGAACAAACAGAAAGAACATCATGACAAGAACAGCAGATGGAGACGTTTTTCTCCCAGCGATGATGTGTACGTCCGGAACTATAGTCACGGACCAAAGTGGGTTCCTGCCGCTGTCGTACAAAACACAGGTCCTGTATCTTACACTGTGCAGACAGGAGATGGACGTGTCTTACGACGTCATGTGGACCAAATTCGAAAACGACATGCATCAGTGATGGGAACATCTGTGTTTGACATGGCTAGGGAGCCCTATAATCTTCAGGTTCCAGAACAGGAGATGGTTCAAAGGCCAACAGACTCTGTTGTTTCATCTTCAGTGGGAAGGGAAATGCAAGAGCTTGTGGAAGCAGCTCAGGTTCATTCTCCAGCAGAGAAAGCAGTAGCGACGGACGCCAAAGCAGATCCACCACCAGTTCTGCGCCGCTCTGAGCGCAGGAAACAGACTCCTTCTTATCTAAGGGATTTTGTGAGTAAATAGCGAGCTCCCTCAAGTAAGAGCAAGAATGCGCTCTGGGACTCACTGGAAGGATGGTTGTCTACCCACCTTCTATGTTAGTTTATTGTATTATGTTTAAAAAACCCTGAATTTGTTATTTTGTTTTGCGTAGGACTGTTGGAATTTRGTATGCTCCTGCTGCAGCTAAGAAGACATTTTTGACATAAATAATTTCAGGTAGTAAGTTTTGTGACCAGTTGAGGGTTGGGTGATGTTAAATTGCACCGGCATAGTTTACTCTTAAAGTGGGAGGAATGTGGTATCCTGATTTAGTAATCTTTTGTTTTGGGTTGTGTTACCACCCAACACCACTAGAGGCAGTAGCAGAGAAGAACCTAAAAAGCTACTGCAGGAGATTTAGAGCAGAAGAAGTTACCTCATGTGTTATACAGAACTGGTACTCTAACTGTAAGCTGTGAAGAGCATTAAAAAGAATTTTAAATATACTGTATCTGCTGAGAGTGGACATCATTCCTAAGAGTGAAGATATCACATACAGTATATGCTGTTAAGTGTCAGGAGGACTGTGATCACTTATACATTGGGGAAACAAAACAGCCACTGTTCAAAAGAATGAGCCAGCACAGACGAGCTACGTCGTCGGGTCAGGACTCTGCAGTTTTCACTCATCTACAGGCCAGCGGCCACTCTTTCAGGGAAGAAGATCTCATCCTTGATAGAGAGGAACATTGGTTTGAGAGAGGAGTAAAGGAAGCCATCTTTGTGAAGAAAAACCACCATTAAACAGAGGTGGAGGCCTTCGTGTCCATTTGTCTTCCGCCTACAACACTGTCATTGCAAGTATGACTCAGCCCCCTGTAAGCAAAAGGTGTGAATCAGGGCCCCAATGATAACCAACACAGGGAGGGACAAAAACAAGGGGATGTTAAAATCCCTCGCTTGCATTCACTACATTCACATAATACGACACGAGTCAGGTGATGGGGCACATGACCCTCTATGAACAATAGAGCCAATCAAAGCCTATTGTTAGTCAATGGCCCTCTTTTGCATATGACTAACCTGTTTGTCCAGGTGGAGGCAGGGCTTATAAGGCTGAGTTTCAACTGAAACTCATCAGACTGATGAAGTCTCTTGGAGGAGAGACGAAACGTTTCACTAAAGAAGAACCCATCCAGAGGACCTATTTATTTTTTCTTTTTGAGTCTGCTTAGGCTGCTTCCCCTGCGACCCAACCCTGGATAAGATGAAGAAAACGGATGGACCTATCTGCACTCTGTAATCACAGCTGTCTCCACTTTCACTACACCCAGCTCTGTTTTTAATCAGTCCTTCTCTCCCACATCTTCGTCCAGTCATTGTTTGTTTTTTGTCCTGGCTCCCCTCTGTGTTCTCCTGTTTTGGGTTTTGGATTTTTTTTTGATTGCCACCCCGCTGGCCTTTTCTTTTCTTTACCTTTTTATTTTTGATCCTGCCTGCCCGTCTGTCTGCGTCATGGGACTGATCTCTCCTCTGAAACTTGATAATGTTAGTATTGCTGCTTCTGTGATCATACCAACCACAATCCAAACTGAAATCCCTGAAACAGAAGTCAGAAAACTGAAATGTCTCAGATTTTTTTTTACTGTTTCGTATCTGCAATCATACAAAAGACTAAAGAAGCCAAGAGCAGATATTTTCTGCATATAATTTTTCCAGATGGTTTTCTCTAGATGAGCTAATTTCTTCCATTATCACGAGAAGACAGATGACGAGATGATTATCTTTTCTTGAATGCTCATGATCAGTGTTTTTTCAGTGTTCTTGAAACCTTGCCAAGAACAAACTCCAGCTGAAAATGTCAGATTGTGGAGAACCTGGTATTGACCAATGCACTGATCACAGTTTGTCTTGTACAGATAAGTTTCATATAAGGCCTCATCATTTGAGGAGACGGCTGGCCTGACTGCAGCTCAGCAGGCYTTTACACTTAAGTGATCCTGCTGATATACTAAACATCATCAGTGACCATCCGAGGGGACCAGGCAGCCATCTTCATGGTTACTGGATGATACACAAGAGGAAAACCATCGGGAAAAAATTCTAAGCAGAAAATGTCTGCTCTCAGCCTCTGTAAAAACAACCAGGCTGTTTTTTTTTTGTAAATATTGTTAGTAGTTCTTGTTTTACAATCACTGATCCTCAGAAATGTGTTAGAAATGATTGTCTCCTCTGCCTTTCTGACTCCACGTGTAAACTCYCAGGTGATGCTCATTTTCTCTCTCCCTCAGTTTGTACTTAACTGGCCCCTTCTCTCCACTTCGTCACTGATGTTTTCTAATTGGTTATTTTCRAGCATGTATTGAATGTAATTTAAAATAGTTTGTTCAGCAGAGGTAGGGGGTGACAGCTGGATGGAGGTGTTTGTTCCATCAGACTACTTTGCTGCTCCCTCCCACTCCGTGCTTCAAATAAGACAATGGTTTTCAGAAAAAGATGTGACGTGAATTATTTTTTATAACTTCGAGTTTGCCAAACAAGCCTTTCCAGTTCTGGAACAACAACTATGGACTGATGAGATTAAGATCAACTTGTTAACCTCTTAAGCCCCAAGGGGCTTTCTTCAAACAGCATCACCCTTCTGTTTCTCCCCTCATTCTCGCTCCACTGCATAGACATAAATAGTTTCACTCATTCTATATGTATAAAAACGTGGATCAACAATGATCCTTACCATAAGCTGGAAGAACAATGGAATCCACAAGTTTGGTACATTCACTTTTCTGTTAAAACAGCCCAGTTTCATGTGTTTAAAAAGGTAAATTTTAATTTTAAATTCAACCATGTCATGTACCCACATATCAAACATATGGGCCAGATCTGGTATCAAGCTGGTCCTGCTGGATGACTGCTGGCATGGCAAGTAGTTTGTCAACCAAATGTGGGRCTGGTCTGGAAACAATGGCATTGTTTTTAAGATGACGGGCCTGGTTGTAGTTTAGTATATGTGGTGCTGGCCCAAGCAAGGGCCATCTCTGACAAACCACATCTGGGTCACTGAGATTTAGTACCTTGTGTYGGCCAGAACTGAACCAGACACATTTTGCTATGTGAGCAGTTTTCTGCACAGAAAAACATAAAGTCTCTTTTTAAATTCAACCACATGCTACACATTAAAGTCCTGAAGGAACGAATAACAATAAGTAATAAAACAAGTTAAAAAATCTTTATTATCTCAGTTACATAGTAGTTGTCACACAATAACAGGCACAGATCTATCATAAATGAGCATGCTTAATCTATAAACCATTTAGACAAATATTACATTGATTTAATAAATGTATATCAAATAGGGGAACACATCATTGACCAGTTACAACAAGCTAAAGTTAACAGGATATATTTGTACATCTAATGGCCAGAACTCTGCAGTTTTCACTCATTTACAGGCCAGCGGTCACTCTTTCAGAGATGAGGATGTTCTCATTCTTGATAGAG